CCAACACCAAACATGTAATAAGCATCTACTCTAAACTTGGTACTGGGACAGGCGTTGAGAATATAAATGTGAACAAGGTTAGCTTCTTGCCTTAAATCAACTTAACGTCTGAGGAGAAATAAAAATTACAAGCATGTAGTTTCATTAAAATGTTTATTATAGAGATGCCCTCTGACAAAAAAACTTAGCAAAGGACACAAACTTTGAATAATTCAAATTACAAAAAACTTTAACAATTCTTCTACTTTACCTCAACCATGGGGTAAAATCATAAGCTGCTTGACGTAAGCATTACTAGGAGGAAAAAAAAACTAAAACAATAGAAGCTGCTTAAAAATGAGAATCAATAATGTGGTATATTATTTGAAATAATAATACGAGCAGCTGACAAAGACATCTATTGTCTGTGAAGTGTTTTCCAAAGGATGATCCATAGGCTGGTTACCTAAGAATTATGGTCCAGGGTCAGATACATAATAATTGCCTGAGGGTCTTTTTAAAAATGCGTTTTCTTGAGCCTCACTCCCAGAATTTCTTGTTTTACTAGTTCTGGGATGAAGACTGTTGTTATTGGTTGTGGTCAAGTTGATTCCAAGTCATGACAATCCTATGTGTTACAGAGTAGAACTGCTCCATAGGGTTTTCTTGGCTGTAATCTTAACAGAAGCAGATTATCAGGTCATTTTTTTCCACAGAACCACTGGATGGGTTAGAACCACCAACTTTTATGTTAGCAGTTGAAGGTAAACCATTTGTGAAACCCAGGGATGAGGCCTAAGAATCTGTATTTATAAGAAGCTCCCAAGGTGAATCTGATGCAAAACCAGTTTTGGGAGCCACTGATCTAGGGCAAGATACAATTGTATATTTATCTGTTGTTTATGATCTCCAATCTAAATTTTTTTTTTCTATTTCTATTGTGAAAGACAGAAAAAGCATCTTTAGGTCTTTCTGTAGACAAACTGGATCTAAAATCCCAGAGTATAGGCTGACTTAAGTCATCTTCTTCGCAGAACAGATGTAAAAAATACATATGTATATACTCTTCGTATTTGTTCAATATTTATATTTTTCCTGCCATATAATATCAATATCAATCATGACAGGTCAAAGATAAAATAATATCAGCAATTTCACTACATGAAACCAGATGAGAAAGCAAATAGATTTGTGCAGAGTGACTTTGTAAGCACAAATGTATAAAAACAAATGCAATTGACCAGAAATATCCCTCAGGAATAGATTTATCTGATGGGTAAATGACTATCCTGAGAATGAGTTCCTCATAAGTACCTTCCACTCTGGGAATAGAATGAGACCTCAGAACCCGGCCTTTTCCTCATCCTCATCACTCTATGTTTAAGTACTGAGTCATCAGAGAGACAATGGTCATTTATTAATGTTAGAAGGCTTGATGCGGGCTCACTTTGAAACAAGAGATTCAGCTTTATTGAAGGAAGTATTGTACAATATTAAGTTATAACAGTCACACAAACATAAGATGTTATTGAATTGCCTTTGATTTAAGATTTTACAACCGGAGAGGTCCTAGCATCTTCCTCTTTTCAGGGCAGCTTGGACATAAAGAATAGAGATTCTTCCTTATGTGCTTAATCTTCATT